TTAACAAGGGAGCCACGCCCGCCCTGGGGCCCCTCCACGCGACTGCTGCTTCCTGGCTGCTGGCAACCCCCCTGGCAGCAGGGGAGGGCGGGGAGAGGCTGCGGTGTGGGGCGCCCAGCCCTTCCGGTGCCCTGCCTAACACCGACCTCACCCCCCGGCCTCTGTCTGACTGAAAGCCAGAGCCAGCCAGGTGCCGCTGGCAGCCGTCTGCCTCATTCCCTCAGGGTATGTCTACACTACCCCCCTAGTTCGAACTAGGGGGGGTAATGTAGTCATACGGAGTTGCAAATGAAGCCCAGGATTTGAATTTCCCGGGCTTCATTTGCATAAAGCCGGCCGGTGCCATTTTTAAATGCCGGCTAGGTCGGACCCTGTGCCACGCGGCTACACGCGGCATGGACTAGCTAGTTCGGATTAGCCTTCCTAATCCAAACTAGCTGTACGCCTCGTGGAACAAATTACTTTCAAAATTAGGCATAGAAGCATACTATAAGAAAAGTCTCTCGAGGCCTGATTGATCGATGGGCGTGTTCCTTTGTGCCCGCCCTGCCCCCTCCGTCCCAAGGCAGCCTGGCCGGGGGGGGAGCCCTTCGCCGCCACTCTTCAGGGCTGCGAGCCCTTGGGGAGGTGGCGCGCTCTGGGGCCCTCCGGGGGGGGCCGAGCGGGGCAAGTCACTTCCTTTCCATGCTACCCCACGGCAGTGCTGGCTCTTCCCCCTGCCGAGCCGGATGTCACTCCCGCGGCGCTGGGGCGGCAGCTCACTGCGAATGTTCCGGCTGGTTTCCGGGGTGAGTGGGCAGAGAGCCGCGTGCTCCTCTTGTCCTTCCAGCCAGGGGGGACGATCTGCCAGGCTGCCCTGTCCGTGCAAGGTCCCAGTGCTCCGGGAATGCACACGTGGGGGGCCGTGGGCAAAGGCGGGGCCCGCGTGGGCGCACACACGACTCCCCTCGTCCCCTGCTGGCAGTGCGCTCCCGGTCTGCGCTGAGACCGCCGTGCGAGGGGCACCCGCCTCGTCTGGCCAGCAGCTCCGGCAGAGCGAGGGTGGCACCACGGCCTCTCGGCTCTCTGCTGAGCCTGCCACGAGAGGTGCAGCTGAACGCCGGCGCGAGGTTTGGGGGGGAGGAGCCCCTCGCGGCTGCGACTGGCCCGGGCTGCGTTTGGACCAGTGCCACAGGGCGCCAGACTCCAGTTTCAGGGCCTGTCCTCCCATCCCCATAGCCCTCTCCCGGACGCTGAGTTCTTGGTTCCAGTCTGGGCCCCTCGCCCGCCCTTGCTGCAGGCCCTGCTCGTGCGGTGTGGGGCGCCCCCCTCGACGTGGAGACACCCTGGGCAGCCCTGCCTTGCTTTCGGTCGTGGCAATCCGCAGCTGCTCCGGGCTGCTGCAGCCTCCTGTTCGGCCGCTGCGAT